CTTTCCGAGCAAATACACGTATACGGGGGGAGGGGGAATGTGGGTAATTATCCCCAATAATTTTTTAACATAGCTTTTTATAGGTACTATAGTCTAGAGAAGAACGGAATGCAGTAAAGGTTCAAGGGGTAGACATAATACCTCATGTTTCAATGCTTATTTGTAGTTAAAATGTAAATTTTAATACATCTGATCGGCCTAATAAAAGTTTTCGTTTATATTTAATCATGTTTCTATTGTTTTTACTGAAATAAAAAAATATAAACCTTTTCTTTTGACAGACATGGATTATATGCTTAGTCCAACGTACATATTGATCTAGAATAACTCCCAAGTATTTAATAGATGTTACTTTTTCAATAGAAGGACATTGGCAGATATTATTTTGACAGCTAAAAGAGTGAAGTTTTATAACAATGTTACTAGCATGGAGACTACACAAGGAGCTCGCACTCAAGTGTGGCATTTGCCAGAGTATGTCCGCGCTTTATCGTATAAATAAAGCTTTCTTTTTTCACTAGCGTCGCTAATTTTTCTTTTGTACCGGTGTGAATATAGAGGAATTAACAAATGTGAAGTAACCGATTATTTAATTAACGTAAACACGTGTCAAATGTTTTTAAATTAAATAAATATAATTAGGTATTTAATAAAATTTCATTTTAAAAAATGGTACTTATGGAACACTAGCGCCCTCTTAAAATACTCTGTTTAACACAGTACGCTTGTTATACATGGAGTGCGTGCTCCTTGTGTAGTCTCCATGGTTACTAGGTTGGTTGATAATTGTTGGGCTAAATGTTATAAATTTGGTTTTTTTTTGACGTTTAATGTAAGCTTATTATAATTTAACCACAAACTTATTTTCCTTACATCTGATTCTGCAGAAATCTTAGAATCCTCCCAGTTTTTATGCGTAAGAATTAAAGCAGTGTCATCGGCATAACATATGAGGTCTCCGGTGAAGTTTTTTATCTTGGTAATATTATTTATGTACACAAGGAAAAGTATTGGGCCAAATATGGTTCCCTGTGATACTCTCGTTTTTATAATGGACTCAGAACTGATAATATTGCCAATTTTAACTCGTTGAGTTCTATTGGACAGGTGGTTAGACACTAAATCAAGGGCAAGACCTCTAATACCATAAGAATTTGACTTAATTAATAAAATTTCGTAAGAGACAAGTGTCAAAGGCCTTAGCCAAGCGGAAGAATACCGTTAGGCATGTCAGAGATATATCCAAGGCACCGACCGTTTTTTCTATAAAATCCACAACAGCATTTTCAGTATTAGAGTTTTTATAAATCCATATTGTCTTTCTTTAATAGTGTTATTTGCATAAAAGAAGTCAATTAGTCTATTTTTTAGAGCCATCCGGGGTCATCCGACTTAAAAATAGGGGTGACTATTGAGTTCTTCCATTGTTGAGGAATTCTTCCATATTGGAAACAAAGATTTATAATATGTTTTAGAGGTAAGACAATGTATTCATGGATGTTTTTTATTGTGGATGTGGCTATTGTGTCGGGGCCCGGTGAGAAGTTATTTTATTAAATTTGATATATTAATTACTTCATTAACCATTATTGGTTTTGAAAATATACACTGATCATTTTTTTCATCTTCAATAACTTGTTCTGGTAAGTTTACATTTGGTATTTTATTTGCCATAGTGTCTCCTAAATTTGAAAAAAAAAATTGTTTAACTTGTCTGCCTTTACTTCATTGATTTGAATTTTTTTTTGAAGCACCTGTTATGTCATTAATTGTATTCCAGGCCTTTTTTAAATTTGTCCCTTCTTTCTGATTAGAATATTTAGTTTGTTCCGGTACTGTCTATATTGGGTTTATAATTCAAAAAAATAGTTTTTTAATAATTTTTTTTTTCATGTAATCCCGTTACTTAATACTTAATAGAGGAGATTAATCCCAATGTGATCCAGGGTTTAATCTTTTTTACCGTAGTTTTTATAGTTTTTGTTTCTGTGCAACTATTTATGTCTGTTTAAATTGTTAAAAAATAGATTGTAAGCTAAACTCGGGGTCATGATTTATATTTTAAACTTCAGTCCATTCCTTATTACTTAACAGATTTTGTAATTGTAATAAATGTACCTGAGCTATTACAAGTTTTGGGTCTTTTATTGGTCCTTTATAAACATAAGCTGTACAGAACATAGAAAAAGGTTTGGACAGGCCAAAAGCCCTGTGTATTAAAGATTACATAGCCGTATCTTAAGATTATTTTCAATAAGTACCTATTTGCCAATTTTGTTTTATCTTAATTCCAAGAATATCTTACAGTAATCGAATTATAAGTAAATAAATACCTTCCCAACAAATTTCACCGAAAATGCGATTATAGGTTTTCTTTAGTAAGGAGGTCCAAGATGTGTATTCTTGACAGTTTACTAAATATCGTTTAGTTGCAACTTGCAAGGTGCAGTGTGAATTCTAGTGTGATCATGGAAAATTTGAAAGGGCCGCGTAAACGACAAAAAATCGGTCCTTTAACAGTTAATGAAAAAACATTAATATTTAATTGTTTTAAATCATTTACAGACAAACATTTATGTAAAAGTGTTGATGACACAGTGGAATTAGTTAGTAGTACGCTTGGTGTTGGGAAATCTACGATTTACAGAGTTGTTAAAGAAGAGAAATGTGGCGAGTTTCAAACAGGACGTAAAGCTCCAGGAAAACCAAAATTTCAATTAGAAAATCTTTTGAAAGAAAGACGTCGAAGGAAAGTGCATGCGTTCTTCTTTAGAAAAGAATTTCCGACAGTAGACAAAGTTCTTGCCACGGTTCGAGATGATAAGGATTACCCTGAAATGAGTCGAAGCACACTATGGAAACTTTTAAAAGAAATAGGTTTTCTATGGAAAAAGCATTCCAGAAAATCTATTTTAATAGAAAGAAGCGATATTGTAGTATGGAGAAGAAATTACCTAAGGACTATAAAATAAATGACAAACCAAAGAAGAAATATATTTTATTTAGATGAAATATGGATCAACGAGGAGCATAAACCAAATAAATTTTAGCAAGATGAAACTGTTACAAGTCGAAGACAGGCTTTTTTAAATAATTTATCTACTGGTTTAAATCCACCATCAGGAAAGGGGCGCAGACTAATAATAGTACACATCGGTAGTTCAAACGGTTTTGTTAAAGGTGGTTTATTGACTTTTGAATCTACTCGTACCGGTGACTACCATGAGGACATGAATGCTGATGTCTTTAAAGAGTGGTTCGAACAAATTATAGATCTTCTTCCTCAGAACTGTATAATAGTAATGGATAATGCAAGTTATCACTCGAGACTTATAGAAAAAATGCTCACAACCAAGTGGTTAAAAAAAGATTTACAGAATTGGCTAAATTCAAAGAATATTAAGTTCCATCCCGGTTCTGAAAAGAACTGTATCATTTGTGTTCCCTTCATAAAGAGAAATTCAAAAAATATGAAATTGATGAAATTGCAAAAAATCGTGGGATGACGGTGGTTAGATCACCACCATATCATTGCGAAGTAAACCCGATTGAACTGATATGGGCACAGATAAAGGGAGAAGTTTAAAGAAAAAATAATTCTTTTAAAATGAGTGATGTTAAACAGTTGTTTTTGGAGGCTGTAAATAATGTGAAGCCTGAAAACTGGGAAAAGGCAGTAAATCATACGATTAAAGAAGAAGAGAAAATGTGGAAGTTGGACAATATTACTGATGAAATGATCGAGCCACTCATTGTAAATATTGGTTGCGACAGTTCATCTTCTGATTTCGATTCTGATTTGGATTTGTAGGTAAGAAGTAGTTTTTATATTAAAATTATTATGTATGAACGTAATGTTGTTTAAAAGTCAAAGTTTAAACCCTTATACCTACATAACCCGTTTGACACAATGTTCTTAACATACCTTGTGGAAAAATAAAACATTTTAGAAAAAATTGCACTTTTTTACCTTCAGCTGTTTAGAAGTTATAAGCAGGTTAATTAGGTGAAAATATAAGTGTATACTCGAGGAATAACTTCAAAAAATATTTTAATTGTCTTCTAAAAGAAGTGGTACGTCTATGGTTTACGAACGCTTTATTATTTTAATACTCTCTCATACATAAAAATAGACTATAATAAGAGAATATTTTTGTGCAATTTTAGTGTTTTTATTTTTTATATAACTTGCATATTTTATATTATTACACAAAATATAATTCGACTAGAATAATAACAAATATCAGTGTTTCTTAGATAGTAAGAAAATTAAACTATTAACAATTATTAACACATTTATTTTAAACAATAAATATTTATGAACTTTACCTCTCATTTGGTATTATTCCGTATTACATAAACTAATGAAGGAGTTAGGTACAGAAAATTTTTAAATTGAATTTCGATAGGTTATTAAATTATTGCTACTATTAGCTTAATTGTCATTAGTACTATTTTAGGTATAGGTAACTTGGATTATTTAAAATAGGTATATTTTGAGAACAAAGCTCATTCGCATTTTAGTTAATGTTAATATTAAATTGTTTTAAATTAGGTAGAATTAATTTTTTCTTAAATGTTGTGAATTACTTACATAAATTAGTTATGATGAAAGAACTTTTTAATCAGAGAAAATGCGAAAAACTGAGTAGGTACATACCTAGGTACCTAATATGTTTAAAATTAAATTAAAAGTCAATGAAACATAGAAAACACCTTTTTAATTTCTTCCTACCTATACCTAAAGTAGAAATTAAATTTATAAACAATTTTTACGGATATGAACAAGAACTAAAATAGGATTACTTAATGCGCAATAATTATTTATTAATAGGTACCTACAAGTTATTTTTAGAAATTTAAAATTTTATGCAAAATATAATAATAATTGAATAATTTTAAATCTTAAAAAAAAATAGTTTTTTCTAAATTGCTACCTCTTTTATAAATTGTTTAACATATTAAACTACTTAATTTACAAGTATATTTTAAAAACTTACCCTTCTATTATCACTAATCCTTCTCACCCCTACGCTACCCTCTGTGGTGGTCATACTAGGGGAGCTAGGCGTAGGAGAAACACTAGTCGACTGAATCATTGTCGTAGTAGCCACCGCAGACGTCGTAGTAACCATATTTACTATAAGCACAACCTCACCACTCTGTAGTTTACTACCGACTAAAGCGACTAATGTCAAAGTATACAACACTACGTATCTCCCGCTCTTGCGGTATTGCCAAACTTTTCACATAAAAATATATAAAAGTTTTGCGAATTTGAGAAGTGGAGATGTTCATTGACATTGCGTTTTGTACCTTGTACCTGTAAAAAATATCGATACAATTTCGGGGGTACAAGATTTCTTTATGGAGAGGCACCAGCGGATCACTAGGGCTTTAGGTTCGCGCCGTTACTAATTATGTATACTAAAGGCTAAAAATGAGCGCAGGAAAGCAAGGCTAGTAATAGCAGTAATAACAAATTGAGCTATTTGTAGCTTTCATAAAATAGGGGTCGAAATAATATAAATTATCTACAATACGTCATAAAATGCAAATTTGTGTTTGTGGTTTACAAAGAGGGTTGCTAGATGCCACGCTTTAGGCGGGATTGGCACGCTTTTTCACTTGCGGTCACGCGCGTCACGCCAAAGTACCCAAATGGCACGCTTGTTACCTAAATGCAGGGACGGCTCGTCATAATTTAAAATGGATGTGTAATTTTTTCTAATAATTTTATCATTTGTAAGTTCGGTCCAAAACTTACAAGTATATCGCTGTTTCTTTTTTAATTAGATTTGTATTAAGTGTAATTATTATTATCAATATACCTATTGCTTTTAAGCACTACAACTATTAATATTAATGAATGAATATTTTAGTTATTGTAATACTTGTTTTGTTTTTAATACGTTAAAAACCATCTAAAAATATTATTAGTTGACATTTCTTCATATTTTGAGATTATTTTTGAATATATATCAGGTTATGTTGACTTTTGTGTAAAAAATTTTATTACATGAAACTTAACCTACCGTTTTTCAGTTTTTATGGTAAATTTATTCATCACACATGTCAAATAAAATAGTATGTTTTTTAAATACCTTCTATTGGCAAATAAAACAAGTGAACTAAAATATTTATTTTATTAAATTAGTTCTATTACAATACATAACATTACACAGATTCAAACTAGAATGAATATAGAATGCTTGGCATTCTAAATTATACTCTTCGCAGTTTAACAGGCCTCCCTTAACCCCCATTTTCAATCAGATTTTTTCAAAATCAAAATTTGATGGGAGTATCGAATTTTTTAAAGGTAGAAACTTGAAAATTGAAATTGCAGCTACATATCATAAAAAAATAATGACGTATTTTAGGGTTTTTGGATATTTACATTTTAAGGGGAGATTGTGGGAAAATCAGAGAAAATTTGGGAAAAAATCTGGGAAAAATTGGGGAAAAATCAAGGAAAAATCGGGGAAAAGTCGGAGAAAAGTCGGGGAAAATCGGGAGAAAACCGGGGTAAAATAGGGAAAATATCAAAAAGGGAAAATCAGGGAAAATCAGGGAAAAATAGGGAGAAAATAAAGGAAAACTCGGAGGAAAATAGGAGGCAGATTTTTTAATGGTAAGAAATTGAAAACTGGAGTTGTAGCTGCTCATCATAAAAAATAACGTATTTCAGGATTTTTACATTTTAAAGGGGGGAAACGGAAGGCTAACAGTTTTTAGGTATGGGAGTATTGTAGGTATAGGTAAATAAATAATTTTAAAGGGGAAGGAAAGTGGTGAAATAAAAAAAAATAAAAATAAATAAAAATAAATAAAAATAAATAAAAATAAATAAAAATAAATAAAAATAAATAAAAATAAATAAAAATAAATAAAAATAAATAAAAATAAATAAAAATAAATAAAAATAAATAAAAATAAATAAAAATAAATAAAAATAAATAAAAATAAATAAAAATAAATAAAAATAAATAAAAATAAATAAAAATAAATAAAAATAAATAAAAATAAATAAAAATAAATAAAAATAAATAAAAATAAATAAAAATAAATAAAAATAAATAAAAATAAATAAAAATAAATAAAAATAAATAAAAATAAATAAAAATAAATAAAAATAAATAAAAATAAATAAAAATAAATAAAAATAAATAAAAATAAATAAATGAAACGATATTTTTCGATGTCCTGACACCCCGACAGCCTAAGGGAGGACTGCTTTTCTCAAAGACTTGTTAGAGAGACAGTTTCGTATGTAATCTGGTGATGTTATGTTGGAAATGGGGTGTTAATACACTACGACCTATAACGACCCTTCCAATCCGATTTTCTCAAGGAAGTGTTGGATTTTAGGTGGTTTAAAGTTAGTAAAATCTCCCTATTCTATTTGATATACTTCTTGGTATGGTACCCTTGGATTCTGGAGTGCTACACATTTAGTGAATGGGGGTTTCATCCTCCTCCTTACAGACTCTGCACTCACTATCTTCTTCTACTACTCTCAGTTTACTGACGTGTTCTTTTAGTCAATCCCTGTTACAATACGTAGATTGTTCTTGCTCAGACAGGCGCAGGCTTTCGTTCTTTTCTGGTTATATTTATTCAGAAGTATCTTAGGCTGTCTCAGCCTCAAGAGATATTAGTAGATGAGATCCGTACCAGAAATGTGGTGTAAAAAGAGATTCTCAATTAGATTACTATACTTAATTCTAATCTATAATATTATCACATACAGATCATGAACCCTAAAATGGTAGTTTGTGTAACAAGAGTTGATATGATGGCCATATTGCATGAAGACGAAATTTGAGCATGATTCCGTAGGCGGAGTGCTGAATCGTCTGAGTGCGATATGGACAATGCACTCGAGCTGCACAGTATATTTTTTCTACGACCCACTAACGAAAATCTACAAATAAAAATTATTTTAGGTTATTAAGATAAAATATTTAATTTAAAAATAATTTATGACTTTTACTAATTTATAAAATTAAATAAACAAAAATGAAAGAAAAAAAAATTCCTTTCATTTTTCTCCATCTGACAATGAGAATCGAACTCGAGTCTTCCGTATGGAAGGCAAGAACGCTAACCACAGGACCATCTACGCGTTTATTAAATTGAACTCATATAGTTTTATTTAAATTAACAAATTATTTATAATTATAGACGAAATAAAAATAGAAATTTTATTATTTATCGATTCTACACAAGAATAACTCATTTTAATGTATGTTTAATCTCAATAACTAAAAAATATACTGACAATTAGTTTGACAGAATTGTCACTTATTTCAAAAATAATAGCGGTCGGTTGATCAAAACATGAACTGTGATTGGTGGATTTGATTTATTTGCAGTGTTCTCACTACCTAGAATGAATATGAGATATATTCGTTCAGTTGAAGGTAATAGCATACTTTTTCGTTTTGTTATTTGTGCCTAGGTAGATAAGCTAACATCCATGTGGGTGTAGAAAAAACATATAATCTCTTTTTTTTGCGAAATCATGCATTTTTCATATTAAAAACACAACTCCACGCATGCGAAGCCGCGAGCAACAGCTAGTAATAATATAATCAAAGCTTAAACAAGAACATATTAGACTAAAATAATAGGTACAGTAAGAAAATGATAAAGTCAAAGTTTTAAAAATTATTTAATAGGTAATCAGTACCTCGGAGTTAAACTGCACTATGTCATTCTAGTCAACTTTTTAGTAGAGCAGACTGAATGTTGTTTGATGTTTGGACACTTTTTGTGTTCCATATTTACATATTTATATTAATTATATTTTGACAAGAAATGCAGTTAGCCTCAATTATTGTCACAATATGTATTGTTTACTAATAATCTAACTAATAAATCGTTTTTTAATACACATGAATTGTTAGTTTTTGTAACATATTTCTATGTTCTGATAAAAAAATTTTTATGACATAGTGTCATATACCTCCAACATGCCTCTATAAATAGTACGTCTAGCGTGAGAGTTAAAAATTGTTGTTTAACTTGTAAGTTTTTTGAAAATGGTGTTATATTTTTTAGTCCTTTTTTTGTGAGATCACTATACATGGTATAGTATACCAAACTTTATACCGTCTTTAAAAAACTGTAACGTAAGGTTAGCTTAAATTTTTTTATAGATGCATGCGATACCATCATTTGAGTAAAATCCTCACTGCTACATCAGTCTGACACTGTTTATCAATACCTCTAGCACTTATAGATAAGGCACCTTTCTATAACTTTAATTTCATTAGGGACAACCTACAAAATAAAACAATTATTCATTTAAAATTGTACTACAGTTAAGAAATTATCCTTGTTTAAATAAAATATATAATAACATTGTCATACTTTTAAAATTAACAATATTTTTGCTCAATGCATAGTTGAGTATAAAATATATTACAATTCTGTAGACACTGGAACAAAAAACAAAATATACTTCTGACACATATACTTCTGATTTATTAAAGTCGCATTTTTATTTACACTTAATTTTTAATAAATACAATAAACAATTGACCCGTGGGTATTTTTGAAGTTTGACAGCTTGATTGGAAACATCGACGCACTTTGAGTCATATTTTGATTAATTTTACGTAATTTTAATTGTTACAGTATTATTTTCTTCAGGAACGATTTGATATTATTATATAAATCAGAGAGAAGCTGGTTTTCTCCTTACAATCTCAAATTCAGTTCGATCATATGTTCTTGTATATTTTGAGTAATATGTCGTTTCATAATGACGTTCAATGTTATATTCTTTGAAAACACCTTATTACTGGACTCAATCTCGAAATATTGAAAGTTCCATTGATCTTTGAATGTTCTGCATTCGCTGTCTATTTTTCGCTTCTTTTCCATACTAGTAAATCACACAAAAACAACAAGTCAAATCAAAATACTGTCACATAAGGGCGTTGGTCTGTTCGAAGATATCTTTTAAACGCAGTTACTCACTACTTTATTTTACGATATACAGTTTCGTTTCCTTCGCCTTCCCTAGACAGACTGACTAGCGTTCGCACCGTTAACCATTTTATACTCCAACTACTGCCATCTTAAAGTGAGTGGAATACACCTCTCGAACCACTCAGGTTATTCACGAATGTTTAATTGTTACTGCG